AATAAAGTATCTTTTTTTACAACATATATACTCTTCTCAAAATAAACTCAAAGAATCCTTGAAGAATTATCTGGACAAAGTATATTCTGACTATATGTCCAATTTAGATATGAAAAATTTATGAACCATTTTTATTCTGAATGATTTAGTGCTGTATATAATAATTTTTATAAATATTATTGTTTATAATGGTTTAATATATTTTTAATTTATAATGTTTATTATTACTTGTAATTATTTATTATTATTATTTTTTTACAGTTTATTTATTTATTTTTTATATGCTTTGTTTCATCTACTAGCTATTACAATAAATGAAGAATCATTGTAAAACATCATTACAAAATATTAGCTATTCTATTTGGAAGATTTTTAGATATGAAAAGCTTTTTTATTTGAAGAATAATATATCTATAGAAGAAATTATAAAGTAGAAGAAAAGTTATGAGATTGCTAATTGTTTTTATTTTCTCTTTAAAGTCAATAATAATGGTATACTCTGGATGACAATTATTACAAGAATTGCATTTACTATAATTGCAGTATCTATTCTATCAAATGGACATTGTACATTCATATTAGCTGTATATAATATATTGTTGAATTCTTAATTGCAAAATATAATATATATAAAAAAGCATATAAAATGTTATATTGAGAAGTATTTGGTAAGTATTTATCATATATAGTTTTATACTAACTCAAATTAATAGTTCTACATTGGGTTTTGTATTGTAAAATGATTTTAATGAGAAAGGCTCTTCTATGATTTTGCTAAAGTAATAATAAATAAAGGGCTTAAGAACTCTGCTAAAAAATCATAACTAACCTCTTTTTTTTATGAATTTAAAACTGAACTATTACAATCAAGTTCAATGCATTTATCACAAAATGAATTAGATCTTTTGTTTGTATTCTATAAATAATTATAAATTTGTTTTTTTTCTTTTTTTTCTTTTTTTTAAAAAAATATTTTTTGCATTGTGTTATTTAGCAATAATAATATTGATATTTGTAATAATATAATGTATATAATAAAATTGCTTTTAATAAATGATATTTTGCTTTAGAATTTATTTTGTAATATATAAAATTTGATTTGTAAATGAACAATGTTTTTGTATATTTATTATAATTATTTATATAGTCATAAATTAATAAATATCAATATCAATTGTTAAATAATTGGTAATTTTTTGAATACATATCAATTATATTTAATATTGATAAACATTATTGGAATATTAACTGAATACATATTAATAAATATTACAATCAATAGAATCCAGTAGGGTAATTATAATTGATATATATTTACCTGGTTAGTAATCGATATATATCTCTATGTAAATTTTGCTGATGTAGATAAGCCTTGACTACTCTTGTAGGTTTAGGTCACAGATTATATATCTGAGTCTTTATTCTTTATATGTAATTTAAAAACAAGCTTTTCTTTGTAAAAACTTTAATTGAATTTCAATAAAGTTAAAAGCATGACCTTACCATTAATATTTTTTAGAAAAAAACTCGGTTTGGTTTATATAAATCTGGCTTGATTTATATAAACTAAACAAATATTGCAATTTTTTATTTACCTTTCATAATTATGCACAATTATGCATAACCATGCACAAATATGTATGTATATGTGAGTTTATGCAAAAGACATACAAATATATAAGCAGTACATAAAAAATGCAAAACTTGTAATTTTATATATAAACCAGCATTAAAACCGGTTTAGACCGTTTTAAAAAACTAAACTTGGTTTATAAGAAAAACCTATTCTTAAACCAAGTTTTTTAGAAATTCTACCATCTTTAAGTAGGACCGGGATTTTAAAAGGAACTGTACATGCAACCATTAAAATAAATACGTATTTTAAATGATAAGTCCACTATCTAATATATTTCTAAATTTATTAATGCTCTAATACACTAAGATATTAAAGTTATTTAAAGTTTTTGGCTAATGCCAATCTATTGCTTAAAGATAATTTTAAAGTAATAGTGACAAAGGAATTTCATAAATACCAATCTTACCTCAAATCGTTAGCAAGCAACAACAATGCATTCATAAGACACTAACTTAGTGTATCCTTCAATATCTCTTTTAATTTTATTCCAACTATCATCAGATACGCCAGTTATGAATCTATATTTGTTTACATTCACACTATTTAAGGTCCTTTTTCGAGTGCAAAATTCAAGCAATGCTTTGATTCGTCTCTTATATTTACGATCATAGTTAATATGAAATAACAGTTTTTTTAAAGGGGCATTACAATTAATAAGCAAAGTAGTAATGTGCGGATCGTATAAGAAATTACTTAAATCAAGATATTGTAATGTTGGTGGTAATACTTTAGCAAACTGCATGACACGAGTCCTCATCGGTCTGCCTGATCCTTCATTTATCCAACATACGGTGAGAAATTGAAGTTTTCTTGAATTGCTAATAAACTCCAGGAATTGAGTTGAAAGCCTAACACTTGAAATATAGAGATATATAATGTTTGGACAAAAAGTAATAAGAGTTTTTAGTAATAATGATTGCGAATTAATTTTTCGATCCGCAGAATTGAGTTTAAGTCGTTGTAATAATGAACCAGAGCTTTCTAAAATTTGTATAATGTCCGATGCATTAACTGAGTATGAACTTATTTCTAATGTACTAATTCTGCAAAGACTAATACTTAATAACTCGAATAATTTTTCATCACAGTATGATATACGAACAATTTCTAGATTTTCACATTTCATTAACACTTTAAATTCTGAGTTATAAACACAATGATCAAGCACAATTTCTTTTAACGTTTTTTTTTGATTTTCTAAAGCTGAAATGATCCCATATAATTTTCTAGAACTTCTACCATTGCCAAGTAAGCTAAAACTTTTAAGGTCATCTTGTGATCTGATAATATGTAGATATTCAGTAGATAGTTGCTTATTATACCCAATTTTCAAGTTATTAATTTTCTTAGAATTTTGGTAAATAATTCTCAAAAATGTAACAATAAAGTTTTCCATATAAGGCTCAGGTATTATATCTACATATAAATCATTGAGTTGTGAGAGAAAGAGCCTATTTTGGTTTAATGAATCAAAAGTTTCAGATTTAATTTTAACGAAATACTCTGGAATAAATAAATCCAATTTTGATAAAGTGGCACCACTCTCAATAAATGTTTTAAATAATAAATTAACCAAATGATTTTTTATTTCTATAATATTGTTTTGCTGATCGAAAAATTGGAGGTTAATCCATTGTTCAACTTTACTTTCTAATAGAAAGCAATTGAAAACCTTTAGAAATCTTGCATAATGAAAAGAAGTATTAGGAATGTCTACAATTATCCCATAATCTTTTAAAATGAACCTTTCATCTTCATCGAAAGATGAAAAGTAACTAGATATAAAGTTTGGGGTTTTAACCGATGAAAATGGATCTTGCCAAAGCATAGGAATTGATGCCTTACACCAAAGTCGATTCACAAGCGAGCATGAGTATAAGGAATAAATTTCATTATTCAAATTATTAAGAATGTTTTCTATTAATTCGCTGATATTGCCCAGAATTATTTTCGATGCCATGATAACATGAAAACCCAAAAGTTTTCACTATACGTAACTGTAACTGTTATGCGTACCCTATGATTAGATTAAATGTTGTAATATGTTACTCTGCATGCATGCATAATGGTGGCGCTACCAAATTTAAAATATTATTATTATTCACATGCAAAATGATGAAACATACAATTGTGTGCTTTTTTAAAAGATTTAACATGCATATTTCAAACCGCGATAACAGTTACGTAAATGACCGATCATATGATAAATTACTTTATTATGTACAATAATAACATTTTATAATATTCACGGCTACTCATTTCCTAGAAATTCTGCCTACTTTACCTTATTTGTTAAGCAATTAATATACGTACTTATGTACTTACGTACTTCCTGTACGATAATGCACTAATAAAATCTAAATAGAATATAGATTAGATTAAATAATGAAACGAAAAATAGGTAAAACATCAACAGCTGATGCTAAAATTTGACTGAAGCTGAAATTGTCGCATATGATTAGTTAATTTCGTCAGGCGTGACATGTAATGCATTTCTTAGATCAGGACAGCTTCAAAAAAAAGACGTATTAAAGCATAGTTTTAGTATCAGCATCAAGGTCAGGTAGATTATTATTACTAAAATTTCATCAGACTCTTGGAGAACATGACCCATCGGAACACGCGCCAAGCCTGATAATCGATGTCAAATATTTTCTTTACGATCTTTGATTATCAATTTTTATCTTTGACAATTAGTGATTATCAATTTTATCTGTCCGGTAAAAAAAAAAAAGATAAAAAATACAGAAAATATATTTATATACCTATGTAGAATGTAAACCTTTCAAATATCGATTTAACGAAGATCAAGTAATTGAATATGTGAATTATATTATTCTTTGATGCATTTGAACTGATATTTCATTATCAGTTATTGGAAAGTTACGATAAAATTCCGATTTATTTATATTATTTGATTAAGTTCATATTCTTCGGATGTAGTTTAAGGAGTATTCTCTCCGTAAATACCAATAATTTATTGCATTCAATAATCTCTAGGTTATACTGTATGCTAAATATATGCCAAGTTTATTTGTGCAAGTTACGTAAGTATAGTAGAACTTGGATCCGGTTATCCGTTTTCATATTATATTTAACGGATATCTGACGGATTTTACTATTAAATTCGTATCCAATGGATAACCTGATCCAAGCTCTAGCGTATAATATTCCCAATTACATGCACAAGTATTATTTGTATATGTGATAATAAAAATGTTCTGATGAGATGCTATCAACAAATATGGTTATCATAATAACTGATTAATGAATAAGTTCGAAAAAGTAGAATAAAACTTTACTGTATATATATTATAATAAAAGAATCACATTGTGAAAGTTATAGAGTATAAAAGAAAAAATATCAAGAAATTGAGCAGCGTGGAAAATCATAACTATCAAGATAGGGCAAATCGGTTGAAATATTTTTAGTAAAAAGAGTAACTTTGAGTTTATCATGCACTTCATAATCAAAATCATTACCCTTGAGATATAATAAAGTTAGTGTAGTGTTTTTACTAATAGCTTTCATCAAAGCTTTACCTCCTTCAGAATAAAATTGATTTTTTTGAAGAATTAAATGGGTTAAAGTATTATTCTCATAAAGTGCTTCAGCTAGTGCTTTCGCACCTTCGCAACCAAGTGAATTTTTAGTAAGGCTCAGATATATCAACTTTTTATTTTTACAAAGTGCCTTTGCTAATGCTTTCCCACCTTCAGAACCAAGTGAATTATGATTAAGACAAAGGTGGGTCAATGTAGTATTTACATAAAGGACTTCAGCTAGTGCTTTCCCACCTTCAGAATCAATTCCATTATTATTAAGGCACAAATGATTTAGAGTAGTATTCACGAGAAGAACATCAGTCAGTGCTTTTACAACTTCAAAAGTAAGTTCATTTCCCGAAAAAGATAATTGAGTTAACGTATCATTATTGTAAAGTGCCTTCGCAAATGCTTTTCCAATTTCGGGGCAAAGTTGGTTATTACAAAGGATCAAGCGTTTTAAAGCAAAATTTTTATAAACTGCTTCAATAATCAATTTAACTTCAGATCCAACTAAAGTATTAAGTAATTCTAAAGTTATTGTTTTGCTTGTCCGTAGAAACATTCTGATTAAAGAATATTTAATTGTTTGAACCATATTTATGGATATTTCACTAAGAGGATTATAAGTTAGTTCACGGTGTCCGTGTTTTAAATGAGTAAGCCAATATATCATTGCTTTAAACTTGTTTGCAGGTTCCAGATCACAAGGTCCATACTTTTCATGATTAAGCCAATTTATGATTCCATTATCAGAATTCATCTTGATAACTTCACTATAGGATACGTATTCAAATAATGATTCTGATTTTGGAGTATCTGGAAGTATTATTTCAAATGGTATTAAAGGTGCCTTTTCTTCTCTGTTTAATGCTAATAAGCATCTCTTTACAAGGACGTGACTGTTAGAAATATCCAATTTACTCCATAATATTGGTACAACATTTCTGCACCATTGACGATTTACAAGAAGGCAAGAAAATAAGCTTTTATAATTGCCTTTAAGATTTATAAGTATATTAGATAAACATTCGTTTGGTAGTGATATCATCTTAGACTCTTTCGGAGTCAATTGACAATTGATTATCATTATATACGTACAGATTATTCATATGTGTTACTCAACTCTTCATCATAGGAATTGTTGACATTATGTATTGTTTAGTCTATCGTATTATTTTAGAATCAATGTGTAACAAACAATGGATTTAATTTATTATATTATTCATATGAAAACAATAGTTTAAATTTTTAGATCATAAAAGGATTTATTCAAAGTCATACATTGTAAAATGAATTCTTCGCTTTACAGAGGTTACACGAAATCTAGAAGTTCTCCATTGGTGTAAAGTGAAATTGGCTTCAACCTCACACTGGTAAAAATTAAAAAATTCTACATATCGAATGGCACCATTCGACAGCTGTTCAGCAGTCATTTGATATGCTATTCGACCATCAATCGGTCAAATTTCGATATGTTTAGTCGATTGATGGTCGAATGGCATGTTGAATGGCTGTCAAATGGTGCGTTCGATATGTCGAATTGTTTTTAATTTTTATCAGTGTCACAAAAAGAGAATTCAAAAAAAACCAAATCGATAAAATTTGCAAAATATGACAAATCTAGTAAAGATGGTATGGTAAACCTAATGAATAAAGGTAAAGCTGATAAAATTTATAAAAAATGCAAACTAAAATAAAAGAAGTTGTTTCTTTAGATCACATCATGACTTTATTCAATTTAATATTATATACCTATATTATTCAGTTTAACTAGTTATATAGTGCAAATCACCTGACCTTATCAAATCTAATTAACGTTAATCAAGATTTTGGGTGTGACGCAGGCTTATTAATAAATGGTTCACATAATTTCAAAATCGCCAAGCCATTATCTTCTTAAACGACCCATTAGGTCTGACTCGGTTCCAAAATTCTGGTCTATCAGAAGTTGATCAGAATATAACTAGAGCGTTAAATGGACAAGTCCTAAAAAATTGGTATAGATCAGTTCTAAAGTCAAGGGTTTTAATCGGACTAGTCTTGAAAATATATCTGTGTTACATATTAAAAGTACGATTTGTGTGGTCAAGATTCTGCTCATAAGTAGTTATGAGTCAAACTCAATGTGTCCACACTGAGTGACCGACTCTAATGAACTTTTTAATAACCTATCCCTTTTCTAAAATCAATGTAAAACACAGAATCAAATTGGTCTCGTTAAAATATAAATTGTCATTTAAGTACTTACTCATTTTACAAGCATCAAATTATTTTCTCTATTTTACGCTGTTGGAACTAAATATATCTGAATTTACGGTCTTATTTTCTGTCATATTAATTCAATAATTATAGTAACTGAAAGCTTATAAAACAAGAAACAAATTTTACTTTATGAATATGACCGTTAACTTAATATCTTCTCACGGTTTACTCTCAGATCATTCATATGCATTACTATTGAATGGTTCTTTCTTTATTCACGATATACTACCCGAGCATTCTATACAGATTCGCAAACACTCATCAAGGTTGTACTGTAGGGAATGTTAACAGCCCAGTCTGGCCCAGTTCTGGTCCTGTTTTTAGTCTTAAGAATTAACCATTTTGGACTGGTCCAGGCTGGTCCGGTCTTAAGAGTGAAAGCTGACCAATTTTTTCAGTTTTACACCGGTCCTAAGATAACTGTGGTCTATCAGTTCAGATCAAACTATATAACACTCATATTGTACTGTATTTTTATAGCTGTTTTCAAAAATTTTCCCAGATTTTTGGAATTTTCCAAGTCAAAATCCAGAATCTCGCGTAACCAACGATAGATAACCTTACAAAAGAGGTGTATTATATTTGGCGGGGGCCCTAATTTCCCCCATAGTTCTGATTGGGCACCGAAATTCCATCTCTAATTGGATGAAATGTATTATGTTACGCCAAAAAAAATTGCCGATATTTTTGTCGCATCTGAAGTAGCGATTTATCTAAAGTAGCCACTTTATATATCTAAAGTAGCGCCCTGGCTAAAATTAAGATCTAATGCATTGTGAGGTCCAATAACGTGACGTAAATACTCTGCCGGGACCTCACGTGAGAACGGGTACGACGATCAATTCCTCGAT